CGCCCCGCTTCTCGCCGCCGCCCCGGGCCACAGGGAGGGGCGGCCGCGCATTTCCACCTCATCCCACGCCCCGGCGCGACGAGGCAACGTCGGGAGGTGCTTTGTACTTGGATTTCAAGGACAGAAGCAGCCGCGTTCTCTACAGTGAAGTGTCCAACTTTCAGCACGAGGGGAGGAGGTTCTTCTGAAAACCCCCTCCAGGGTCACACACCCTCGGATATCTACCGTCACCGATTCCATAGTTACAGAGGGGAGTAGAGTAACAAATTAACACATTTAAACCTCCTCCTCCTTTCTCCTGCTAATTTATAATGAACTCTCTAATCAGCTGCTTCTGTTTCCCATTTTTAGGTTTGCACAGCATTTGGCCTATCAGAAGAAAGTGTAAATGCACTGGCACAGACAGCTCAGATTATGTTAACTGAAAAGAAATACAATGACCAAAAGCGTTTCATTGCAGTACATACATTCAAGGACTATGGCAAAAAGCAGAGTGGGTGACAAAGGCTTCCGGCACAGGCAGAACAGACTGAATTATCAGCAGGATTCATAAAACTGAACACGCTTGAGAAAATAATTGTCCATGCTTATTTTTATTCCCTATTAAGAAATAATTTAAAGTAGAAAATGATTTTATATAAGGATAGTCCTGTACAGAAAACCCTCATCTCTACCAGACGATCTCTCTGGGTGTTCCAGATGGTGGCAAAGAAATGTCTCTTAATTCTCTTTGTGTCTTAGGCACAAGACCTAAATCACCTTCTGCATCTATAAAATTCTCACTTGGAAAAAATGGCATAACAATTTAAACTAATGCTGGGAATGAGGGCCTTGCTGTTCCTGAAGGATTATCCTTTGATCACTAATAAGACAGACAGACAAATCTTTTATTAAAAAAAGTCATTAAAAATACCACAATATTGACAAATTCTTAGACATTGCAACTCTAATTTAACTCAATACAGGATTTTACAATAACTACACAACATCTGTCACTAGACTTACCTGTGATATAACATTAAAAACAGGTCTATTTGGTTGGTTTTGGCTTAATGTTTTTGAGCCAGACCTGAGCTCACCCTTCCTGAAGCCCAAAGTAGTGGGAAGCCAGACAGCTTTGATCTGGAAGTGCTGTGTTCTCCGCAGGGCTTACTCTATTGGCTTGAGAGCAGTGCCTCAGATCAGAGCTATCCAAAATCCACACACCTTGCAGCACAGGTAGAGCCAGAATAGGTCTACCCATTAAAAAAGAAAGAAAGAAAGAAAACAAGAACACTAGGCAGACACGCTACATTGACACGTGGAAGTGTGAGAAAGGGCTATTCATTCTGATTTTCCCCTCTAAATCAAGGCAAAGTATGCCCCTTATATGAAGTTATTCAGGGAAGTGCACAATTGATTACCTGCTCTTCTCTTGATCTGCTTCTAGAAAGTTGTCTGTTTCCCAGTAAGAATGTTAACCCAACCGAATGCTGTTTGTGTTAGGTATTCAAAGGAAAACAAAATGTGTGCCTGCCATGTACAATATAATTTTCAAATAATCTCTTATTGTTTTTGTCAAATAAAATAATTTAAGTGCTGTCTGCATAGTTGGCATTCTTAACTGAAGCTGATCCAAAACAACATTTATGAGAGAAAATAAACTATCACAAGGGAGTAGGTCATCATAAACACTTCATTGTTAAGCATTTGTATGCTGCAATTACTAAGACCGAGCAGCAAAGCAAGCCTTTGCCATCAGAGCGTCTACTTTCAGAAAAATGCAGAGAAAACAGGCTGCACATTTCTGAAGATAAAACAGACATACAAGGAAACACCTGAAAGAACGAAACACAAACCATCCTTCCTTGTAGGGTGGATTCCTCGTATTCTCAGAAGTTAAAATTTGGAAATAGGGTTATTTTGTGACCTGAGCTTCACTGTCAGGCAGATCTTCTTTCCTCACGTCAACAGATTCTTTACTGATTGACAAAAGTTCACGGAGCTCTTTGTTTTCAAGCTGCAAAATCAATATTTTTGCTGAAATAAAAATGACCTCATTCACAATTAAAGGACTATCATCTTTAATAGCTACACTCATTGACAACTAAATAAAACACTGATATTGTAAATTTAGGAGTAATGCAGCACTAGCAAGAGGGGACCCAAATCATTTAAAGCATATCTTTTACTTCTGGTTTTATATATAATAAGAAACGAACATCAACTACTTAGAAGAAGCAGATAATTTTCCTTATTCCCACCCCCCCATTTTTGAATGTTATAAATCCTTGGCATATACATAGACAACCCAAGCATCTCTTTCTGATTCTCTTTTCTATCAATGGACAAAGAAAAAAATATTTTAGGATAAGTCTAGAAATTCAAAAAATCTAGATCTACTGTTAGCAATTATACCACTTCTTACCTCCAACTGAGCTAGTTTCTCTTGAACTTTAAAGAACTGATCATCATCGACTTGAATAGCTTTTCTCATCACTTCTCCCATCTCATATATTCTGTCTATTTGTTCTTCAATTTCCTGAAAGACATAAAAGCAATGTATTCAATATGTTCAAGCAAAAGCAGTAGTATATTATCCAAGTAAACCTATTAAAAATCGATTACTTTTAATTTTCTTTATTTTTGGACTAGTTTCCTATTTTGAATTGTAATCTTCTCCTTCAAAACACTTGCAATCCTTTCCAAGTTGTACATTATTTAAAGATGAGAACATGAACCTTTTCTTCATCTGTCATGAAACATCAATGAAAAGTCTAACAGAATTGGATCAGTCAGCAAGATATAAGGCATTGTTACACAGTAATAGAGAAATTGTTGCAAGTGTGACAACGACTAAGACAACAGATTCCGGTTCATGTGATGCAATCAGTATACATATAGCTTTAGAAATAAGAAAAGCCTGACTCAGAACTTATAAAAGCAAATACACAATATAAAAGCAAATTATATTTCATAATTAAATACAAACATGAAGTAAACAACCTCATTTCAGAAGGAAGGCAAACAAAAGGAAGCCAAGCAAGGAAAAAAATAAACAAACCCAAAGCCTCCTGGGGCAGTTTTAACAGAATCTATCTAGATACAGCTCTAATCCTTCAGAAGATGCATTTTAAGAGTTGAACCTCAGAACCCCTGAAAATTCCCTGCATATAGTGTAGCATTACTTCCTGTTTGAAGAGCATTTGAGTTCAAAATATAAATTCAGGTAGGAACTTGAATGTATAAATAAAAAAAAATGTTGACAGCTGGCAAGAAGGAAATAGCCAGAAGTGGATTTGGAAGCCTTCTGAACTGTCATTTTAGCGTAACATACAAATATGAGGCTATCATAAGGCACTTTTGGGGAATAAGTATCTGAAGGGGGAGTGCCAAGAGGATGAGGCCAGCCTCTTCTCCGTGGTGCCCAGCAACAGGACAAGAGGCAATGGGCAGAAACTGAACCACAGGAAGTTCCATCTGAACCTGAGAAAAAACTTCTTCACTGTGAGGGTGACTGAGCATTGGAACAGGTTGCCCAGAGAGGTAGTGAAGTCTCCTTCCCTGGAGATTTTCAAAACCCGTCTGGATGTGATCCTGGGCAATATGCTCTAGGTGACCCTGCTTGAGCAGGGAGGTTGGACTAGATGATCTCCAGAGGTCCCTTCCAACCTAAACGATTCTGTGATTCTGTGAATATCAGATAAACGTAATAGGGTAGGTTCCTTTTAAATACATGTCAGTAATTACTCTGCTCTGCCTTTGGAAGGGAAGTGCATCATCTGGGCAGTAGATCCAGTTTTGAATTCCATTATTTAGAAAAGATGTAAACAAATTAAAGCATCTAGGAGAGAGCAGGAGGAACAAGAAAGGCTTAGAAAATTTAATCCAGGAAGAAAGAATGATTTTTTTTTTTCTAAAGAGAGAGACAGTTTCAGTAAGAATGTAACTCTTTAAAAGATATTAAAAGGTTGTTACTGTTCTCCACCTGTTGGGTACAAGGGATGGACTTAATTTGAAATACAAAAGATTCTGGCTAGATATTGAAATAATCTATGTATATTCATTCCATCTTGGAGTTAGAGAATGTACTAGGTTCCTCTGGGGTCTTTTCAGCTGCATGTTCCTATGCTATTACAATGAAGCAAAAGCAGTGCCAGAGAACAACGTTAGAAATTTTGTTCAAATGACAAATCTTGATAGACAGAGCAATTCCTGTAAATAAGCACTGGAAACAAGACATTTTTACATTACTAGGAGAGAAGGAACAAAAAAATATATACTTCTGAAGACCTGAACAACACAAAACAAAGCGGCAATGAACGTTATCAGTATAAAGACTTAGGATGGTTCCCGTTCTAATTAAGAATACAGAATAAGAGATCTGATGAGGTCGAACAAGCTTGCTATTTCTAATCACAGATAAACATATATTTTAACATACTCCTAACTTCAGCTGTAAGGGATAATCAAATTTCTAATGTTATTATATTATTTTTAGACACTGAAATATAAAGCAGGCAGCAGTCATCAGGATGCACATCTCAGCTGATGTCACTACACCTGACATGGATGAAGGCACACTTTTAGGTACACTTTTACACTATTGTACCAAGTATCTGGACCACTTTGAAGTGATGATTTCTTAAGAAAACAACACACTGCAGCTCAGAGAGATTTAGAAGATTCTTCTCCCTTTGTTATAAATGATTACTGAATGGTAACAATAAGACCACTGATGCATACGCTTCTGTAAAGTGAAAATAAAGACATTAAGCTCTTCTCAAGGAATTTAACACCCATGGCACATACAACAAACCTTCCCTTGGGCCTTGAAAGGCTTATGCTCTTCAGTGTCCCCTGTGACAACTGTTACAACCTGTATGTTGTAATAGAAATGGGGGGAAAAAAATACCACGGAAGATAAGTTTCAGAAAGCGTGTTTTGGAGCAGCGACATTCCATGAAATGAGATGCAGGATACATAAACATAAGCAAGAGGCAGAGAGCAGTTTCTCCTAGCCCTCTTCCCACCCATGCCCACCTTACCACACAATGAGCCTGGTGAACTTTCAAGACTGGCTCTGCCGCTTCAGCTTTTCTCCCTTGCAGCAGCTGCAGCATCTGCTTTCGGTACTTGCTCATGATGAGCTCTAAGGCGTCCTGGTGCTCCTCCAGCGAGATCCACAGCTCTGCAAAACGCAGCACAGCACTGCCACGAGCTGCAGGCGATTCTCCCCAGCCGCCTGGAGGCCCCGGGCCAC